ACCTGAGCTACATAGCAAGACCCTGTTTCCTAAAGAAAGAGGAACAGTGGGAGGGAGGGAGAGGAGGAGGAAGAAGAAGGAAAATTTCACCCTCTAGCTGGATGGATGGATGGATGGATGGATGTACACATCTGTAATCCCAGCTACTCAGGAAGCTGCTGCAGGAGGACAGCAAGTTCAAGGCCAGCCTGGTCATCTTAGCGAGGTCCAGTCTCAAAATAAATGTGAATTAAGAGGAGGAGGTCACTGGGCTCTGGGTCACTCGCAGGACACTCACCTGGCATCTCCAGCCCCTGGATTTATAAATGCCTCAGACCACAAAAGTAAAAGAAAACACAAACCCTTCCTCTGGATGTTTAAAAATGAGAACCACCACGGACCTCCGTTGAATGTCACACAGACGAGAAGCTGTGGACGGCTTCTCTCAGACTCCTAACTTTGAGTTGTTGCCAGACTTAAAATCTAGAAAGAGGCAACCTCAGCAATGCAGAGCAGCTGGAGCAGGGCCCGAGGAGGCCTCTTTGCTCTGCTCCCTGGCTGCTGGGTGATCTCCCGGCCGCATGCCACGGATGGGCGCAAGGCCGCTGAACAAGCAAGCGGGGAATGCGGTGTCTTGGCGGATTTCCATTAGCCACCGTCCTGTGTTGAAACACTGCCCACACAGTTTCTTCCTCAGCAAAGGAACTGATTTGCCTCTTGAAGAAAAAGATCTTGACGTGCAAGACAGCTGTCAAGATCTTGATGCAAGTGCTGGTTTCCGAGGACCTCCCACAAATTGAGGATCTTTCAGAAGTATCCTTGGTAGAGCTATAAATACAAACCATAAACAGGGGCTTGTTCAGTTCTTCTTGTTTTAAAAAAAAAAAAAAAAAAAAAAAAAAACCTCCCAGGAATGTTTTGAAACAAAGCAGTATAATAGAGAAATCAGATCTCTGTGGACAAAACCATTATTTATTTATTATTCATAGGCTGATTTACAGATTCTCCCATGTTCCTTGCCAACGACACAAATCAAAGAAGGAAAAAAAAATACAGGCACAACAAACTCAAAACACATTAGCATTTCATTTGTGTTCTCTTTATTTGGTTGGTTACTAGTAATCAACTCCACAATCACCATCCTGATAAGTGCTCGTTACATACACATAGTTAAAGATTGTGCTATGTATCGTACATTTAAGGTTTATTAAGCAAGATGAATCCTTGCCAGATAGAAATTACTGATCATCTGGTAATAAAACTGTAGTATCACCATCATTCCCAGCTCTGGGTGCCAGCCAGAGGACAGAGTATTATTAGATGAACGTGGAAGCAGTAAGGAAAAAATCTGTTCACATTAAATACTAAATAAGTGAGCTCTAGTCATTACTCATCTTGACTGTAATTGAACCTTTATCGGAAGGGAAGGCAGTTTTAACTCATTTAAATTGTCCAGTTTGCTGAAGAAAATCGTATCATCTAAGCAAAATGGAAAAATAATCATGCATTTGGACCATAGACGTACTTGATGTTTCTGTGGTATCGGGGATGGAACCCAGGACCACACCATGAGAAGCTGCTTAGTCCCACTGAGCTGCCGCCCAGTCTCAGTACATTTTTAATTACTCAGTTGAAGAGATAAGAGCCAATGCTTTGTTAGGTGACCACTCTTAGAGAGAAAGCCTGAATTTAATTCTAAACTAATCCAGAGAATTATTTGGATTTTGCCCCAGTGGAAGATTTACGCAGTATACGAAGAACAACTTTAATAAATGTCCATCACCCTCTTTACTGGCTCCCTGGGACTAGGCTTGGGCTGGGTCATGAATGAGTTTATCTGCTGAGTCCTAGCCAGGATGTCAGGGTCATGAGCAGTGTCCACATATAGCTGTGTGACCAGTGGTGACCACTAATGTCACCATGCTCCTCATTCTGTCCCTACAAAGCTGAGAGTTTAAGCTCTCCTCCAAGGTCCCTTATAATTCTCAAATTCAGGGCCATCATTTATCTTAGTTGTCTTTGTTGTGGAATTGATAGTTTTTTAAAGAGAGCTTTAAGAACACGTAGGAAAGAACGCTCCTCAGAGGAAAGTTAGCGGTTATGTGATGACCAGTTGTTACTCTACAAATGAGGAAATTGGAGAAAAAACACAGGAAAAGTTTTTGTGGTCTAGAGACACATTTTTGACATTTTTTTGGTATATGTCACAATGATGAGATGGTATGAGGATGTTCATTTCACTACATTGCTGCAGATCTTCAAGTAATGCAACTCAAGCAATGTAACCCACGTCTGAATTATACCGAATAAGAGAAGGATGATGAGGAAGTGTTGTTAGTGTTCTCAAAGAGATGATGGGTTTGAACACAAGTGTCCCAGGCCTAGAAAACATGAGCGGTTGAAGCAGGAAGGTGGAGGCCTTTCTCGCTCACAGGGGACAGGGATGCTGGCACACAGGGCGCGGGAGTGCATATGCTCCTAAAGCGACACACCCACCTGGAGGCTGCCGCTAGCGAGCTGGACCATCTGGGGCCCTCAGCCACAAAGCCTGGTCCTTTATCTGTGAAATAAAAGATAATACTTGACCTGCATGGCGAAGTATTAGGAGGATTAAACAACAAAGCCTTTTAGTGGGATGTTCACCTACAGAAATTACTCAGTAAGTAGAGCCCTGTGATTGTGGTCACTTAACTACTTTTACTGCTGGGGAAAAGTTACGCTATTTCCTATGACTACTGCCTACATTAACTTCGTAGGTTGTTTCAGTAGGTCCCTACTGACCGTGAGCTTTTTGTGTATGCGCATGTAACAGCTGTGTTTCATATATTACACTGCACGAGCCCAGGCATTAGTAATTTAATGCCATGCCCTTGCAGATTCTAGAAGAGACATAAAAGCAGTGAATAATATATTTAGAGCCCAACATAGTTTCTTCCTGAGATGTTCAATAGCGTTCTCATAAAGCCTGCTCACATTTCCACGTCTCTCTGAAGTGTCGAAATAGTTTACTTCTTTTGGAGGAAGAAAATGTACCTTAATATTTTCCAAAATGTCTTAGTCACTGTGAGTGCGGTCCGTGTCACTAACTGCCCCTTCTCTGGGCTTGTTAGGCATCTACAGTCCCAGGCGCAAAATTATTTTCCCTCATTTGATAATTTGATAGCAGGAGCCACTGCTTGTTCCACAGGTTGTTAAACACCCACTGTGTGCCTGGCCCTGCGTGTCCGGGAGGAGCGTTGGCCAGCCTCGGCGACTTTTGTTGATCAGTTGAGTCCTGGGAGGGTCCCCTCGCTAGGTGAGGTTTAAGTAGGTCGGGGTTTAAGTAGGTCGCTTGCATTTGTTTAAGCAGGAATGTCGCTTGTATGGACAATAAGGTCCCTTGTGACTCCAGAACACATGCTGTGGCTAGAGAAATAAAACACACATCACTTTACAAGTACTACTCTTTAAGTTAGTAACTCTTGCGCTTGGTGTTAAGTCTCTTGACTTGCTCTGCAACCCATCCCCTGCTGATCTACCTGAGTAGGGAAAAACCCATTTTAAGCGAAGCATTGCCATCTCAGGAAGTCTTTACAAATGTTTCAGTTATTTGCAAGATCTCCATGGCTGCTGAGCTACATTTCTGTAGAAATGTGTTCTTTTGTTTTTCTCCTTGGCATTTCCAGTACCATTGCTGAATTTTATGTGATGCCGTATAAATCAGCAGGTTCATGGGGATCGAGGAGCCTCACTGTCTGGCTTATCTATTCCTGACTTACTGGTCCCATCAAAGCCTAACAGCCCAGCTCTGCGAGTCAGAACATGGTGATCCTATCCATGGGCATCTAAGATGTTGCCTCAGTCACTGGTTTGAATCATCACTCGTTATGATGTTATCTTGTGCAGTGAATTCATCCATAAAACACTGTGGGGTTGGTTTTCTATTTTTTTATTTTTTTGACAGGGTCTCACTATGCAGTGCAGGCTGGCCTTGAGCTCACTGTGTAGCCCAGGCTGACCTTGAACTTGTGGCATCTTCCTGCTTCAGCCTCCTGAGTGCTGGTGTTACAGGGGATCGTCATCATGCCTGGTGGAATGTTTTTAAGGGTGTGCATGGGTGTACAAGACAGAATAATTAGCCTCTGTTTCCTCATCTCTCGTCAATCTTGTTTCATCTCTCCACCTGTAATACTTTAGTAGTTTTGTTTCCTACAGTATTTCAAAGCAACTCTTAAGATACGGTTTCGCTCACAAGTATTTCAGTATGTGTCAGTAACTTGTTTTTTGCAGATAAGAGTCAAACCCAGGGCCTTAGCATTGAACTACACCCGTAGCCCTTTTTTAGTTTTTATCTTGAGACCGGGTGTTGCTAAGTGGCCCAATTGGGCTTGAAGTTTTATCCTCCTGCCTCAGCCTCCCAGAGTGCTGGGACTGCAGATGTGCCTAGCATTCCTGGCTTCACACTGGTCTCCGTGTATCATAGCCTCACAGCGGTGTCTGTAGTACTGACTGAACATGGTTCCTGGCCTGCTGAATGGCCCACAGCTTACTTTATCCCCTGCGCTTTCTGTAGACAGGCAGGTAGGACAGAGATTTGGATAAATTCAAGTTAGTTTCCAGGCAAGCGGACTGCAGATGGTTCTGTGTTTTTCCTATTGTGTAGCTGACAATGACAACTTTTATTAAGAAATTAATTCTTCCAGTGAAATAGTGAATTCCATGATCTCCATGCTGTATTGTTGCAGATTTTAATGAGAAAAATCTCTCTCTGCGCACATTTGACTTCCTGCGTTGGCCAGTGGCTCAAGTGACCAACCCTGCCCCCTGCCCCCAACCCTAACCCGAGACCCAAGGGACTCCATCCAAACTCCATGCTCCATGTCGCTGGGAGGACCAAAGTTGCTCTCATAAGAGGGAGAGGCCCCAGAACGTATTTCCACTGCTTACAAAGAAGGGAGCTGATAGAAAAGTTCCTCGAGAATAAAAACAGGCTGCTGAAGGGCTCCTGCTTCATGAGGTGTTGCTTGCTTGTCTGTTCCTAGGAAGAAGTCGTTCCTGTTTTCCGCTCTGTATGCTGCCTTTATATTTGGTGGTCGGCACCTAATGAACAAACGGGCGAAGTTTGAACTGAGGAAGCCGCTAGTGCTCTGGTCTCTGACCCTCGCAGTCTTCAGGTAGGTTCCGATTATTTTCTCAGCAAAAATCCGTCCATCCATCCTACTTGCTGAAAGAGCGTGTACGTGAGCATTTATTTTCTGTGTTGATTATTGAATGTATTGTGGACATAAAGTTATGTCCAGAGAGAAAGCCTTCACCGAGTCCCTTGGCCCGGATGCACACAGTCTCCTGTCTCCAGAGTTCTTGGCCGCCTCTGTTCCTGGCCAATCTGTTCACTTGGGGGGTCGGATCCCACCTTTAGGGCTGGAAGCAGTGCACCAACTCCTCCATTTGTGTCGCATGAATATAAGTGCAGGGCTGAATGAGAACCACTGATGTGCGTGGAGAGTGGGGTTCAGATGCCCTGGGCCAGCTCTGTCCCGTGCTCAGTCTGAAGATGGCGTTCAGACACAACCAGCCGTCTGCTCACATCAACCTTGCTGGACCTAAGAGCTTTGCTCCGCATCCGAAGCATCTTCTGTCCTTTTCCCAAACTGCCCTGCGGGCATGCGGTGTGGCCATTTCTAGCTTGGCCTCTGCAGACACGCCGCACAGAGGCTGTCGGGAGAAGGCTGGTGTCTGCAGGGGGCGTGTCCCCAGCGTGCAGACTCGGTCCTCTGGGCTCTTCATGGAGCATTTCTGGGCTTGCCATATTTGGTGATGCAGGCTATCACAACACTGATCAGCACACAGCTGGCATCCAAGCGGGTGCCGGAATTTACCTACAGCACAGCAGAGGCACCTGTCCTGTTTGTGATTTGCTTATCAAAGTGGCAGGTTGACACCCAGAGCTGGGTGGTGGGTGGAGTCAGAAATACCCCTTGTTTTAGCATTTATGAGCATCCATTTCTATTTGTTTCTATTCTACTCTACTACCACTAAGCGCAAATGGATGTATTGTTATAGGCTTGTTGTTCATTAAGGTTTGTTAAAATGGTCAAGGAGAAAAAGGATTTTTCCTGAAACTCCTAGGATCTGTGCATTTCCATTACCTGGGAGCCCTGTAGCAGAAACATCTATTTGCTCACTATTGCTCAGTATAGTTTTTGTGTGAACTGTAAGGTATGTTTTCTTAAATTTTATGAATTCACACATTTATTTTTTAATGTGTCAGTGGTTTTGAGATGCATTTGGTTTCAATGTATTTTTAGTCCTTTGCTGTTGTCTTTCCCCCGGCAGCTTGATTTGCTTTGTTGTCTGATAAGATATTGCCGGCCAAACACATTGGCTGTTCTTTGTCCAGAACTGGATCGGCCGTTTCTCCAAACAGCATTCTCTTTGTTTGTGAGATGTCTAAACATGGATCTTTGCCTGGACTTCATCCACCTGCTCTAAAACCATAACCACTTCACTGCTCTTGAAAAGCCAAAGCAACAGCAGAAATAAGAAGCTGCAGCTTTCCATGCTTTGGGAGTAAAACCTGGAGCTTAGGAACATGTCTGTCCCTGCTGACCAAAGGACAGCCTCAATCCTGCTCGGGGTCTCTGGGTAACTAGCAGTCACTCCACATTCATACTCACCAATGTCTTGGTTTAAATGCTAGTGTGGCATTCTGTTTGGGACAGAAAAGAAAGACTGTCAAGATCATTTGCCAACTTACCAATGACCAGTGTTTTGGTTTTTTTTTTTTTTTTTTTTGTCTTTTTCCTTTTTTATCGGTACCGGGGATTGAACTCACCGACTGCCTGCTTGCAAGGCAGGCGCTTATGCCGCTGAGCTAAATCCCCAGCCCCGACCAGTCTTTATCTATACTGTTGGGCTTGCACGAAATTTGCTTTCCTGCTTGCCCCATTTCCAACAGGGTACACTCAGACTTAAGACGACCAAGTGGGATCCTTTAAAGTCAAGATCCTTTTACCAAAATTCATCACATCCTAGAGAGTGTCTTTGAAGTCATTCTGGATATGCGAGTAACACTTCCCACCAGTTCCCAGGCTGGGTCACTTCCTCCGTGGCCTCTTAGAGTGTGGTCAGTGCCTCTCCACTTCTGTGGACACTCCAGGCACTCACTGTGAGACGCCCGTGTTCCTCCCCACCAAGTTAACGTAACCAAGGCGAATGAACAGTATATCATACCTGCACGCCACCTCTATCCCATGAGTTTCCCTGCTTAAGCATTCATCAGAACTCTGCCAGTAGCGAAGAGCTCAGCATAGCCGTCGAAGCCCAGCATCTCTCCTGACCCACCTTCCACATGGCCTGTCCTTCTGACCCAGCAGGAGAAGCCCCTTCCTCGTTTCCTGTCTGTGTCTCTGATCTTTTCCATGTTTTCCCTTTCACACCTTAGACCTCACAGAATTCCTCTGTAGCGGCTTCTCTGATCACTGCAGCCCAGGGCTTGTCTTCCCACAAACATCCTCCTGCTCCCCACTGACCAGACCCTGGAGCAGTGCTGGTGAGGCCATCAGAGGTTTCATTATTACAAACAGCCGCTGCGGCCCACGGGCGGTAGATTTGCCACCACCACCCAGCACCATAAGGGGCATACTAGGGTTTGAACTCAGGTTCACCTCCAAAGCCACACCTCCAAACCTTTTTATTTTTTAATGCTTTATTTTGAGATAATCACAATAATTTGCCAGACTGGACTCAAACCTGCAGTCCTCCTGCCTCATCCTCCCATGGTGCTGGATGACAGGCATGCATCATTTCACTTACTTGCTCTGCATTTCTTGTGTCAGCCGCCCCTGACACAGCTGAGCCCACCCTTCATCTGGTACTGTCAGGCTTTCTCTGTGGGTACAGAGATGCATCAGGAAGGGATGAATGCCAGGTAAGGTCAGGAGCTTTCCAGCAGCTGCGGGGCCACACGGCCTGGCCTTCGCTCCTGCTTGACCTCCCTGAGTCACTCTGACCTCCTTGCTGTCCCTTAAACTTGCTACCATGAGTCTCCCAGGACCTTTGTGCCTATCTTTCTCAGCTCACTGTGGCCCTGCCCAGCCCCAGCCTCCTCAGATCTTCATCAGCCTTGGCTTCCCGAGCCACCCAATGTGCTATCTTATCTTGTCCCTGTTCTGTCCCCTCCCTTGGACTCTGAGCCCCACCAGGGCAGGGATGTTCATGTCTGATTTCCTGCTGTGTCGGGAGTCCAAGTCAGCACATATTTCTCTTTTAAAACAGGAGGAAGCACAAAGAAAAAAGCAGACACTTACTAACAACTGTGTGTATTTCTTTCTCAAAGAGGAAATACAGACAATGTTTCTGCTTTTCATCAAGATGTCCCGGGATGAGCCAGGACCTGAGGCTGCTGTGAAAGGGTTTGCAGACAGAGAAAGGGAGCCACAGCCTGCTTTGCCAGAATGGCCGTGGGCTGTGGGCTGTGGGCTGTGGGTGTGTGGCCTCCCCGTGCTGGCTATCATCGTGTCCTGGCCTGTCTGGGAACCTAGGTGCCTCTCCTGAGAGCTCATTATCTGCCCGGCTGCTGGGAGCATTGCAAAAGCTGTCTGATTGACCACTGCAAATGCTACTTGGTAGCTAGGTTTTCAAGCCATAGAATTTCCTCTCTAGTTATAAAAGTGCAGATTTTTTGTGAAGCATATACAAGAAGTTATTATTGTCATTATCCGTAGATATTTTTTAATTTTTTTGGTGTGTGCCCCTCCCAGTAACTTAAACTTTATTATAATTTTCAGTCATGCAGTTAATTCACTTAAGGTTGGACAAAGACATGCCTTCTACTACAATACCTTTGTATTACAAATGCTAAAACAACTTGAACCACTGACATATAAGATGATTTGAATCACTTTACCTAAATAAATTAGTATTGAGGTAGCTGGCATACCGTTGGTTGAAAAGTAAACGAGAGGCTCCTAGAAGATACTGCACGGAAATGTAGAATATACGTGCAGTAACACCTTCAGCATTGAATGGTTATTTTGAATTAAGGTTTAGTTACAGATTGTAGTGTTTACGCAGATTCTGCATTACCTCATAAATCCTTAAGGATTGTTCTGATTGGTAGAGTTCACTGTGGTATGGTGGATGTGTTTCACTGCTAGAATTTGAGTCCTTAAGTCCATCGTTTTTCTGATTGCATGAGAGATGCTAACTTACACTGCTGAGCTCGGGTAGCCACAGCAGCAGCTTGTCAGGAGAGACAGGGACAAGAAGGCTGTGACCCAGAGATTCCCTTTAGAGAGCAGAAAAGCACCTGGACGTGAGAGGCGCTTCCTCGAATCTAGGGGTTGTTGTAGGGGGAAGGCAGCGGAAGAGAGAGGGATGGGGGTCACCATCAGCGTACTGGCCGCCCACACGGTGGTTACCTGCTGCTGATCTAACAGTGAGACTCGCCCTAGATACCCTGAGAGGAAATGCCTGCGGGCCTTTACAACCCCGTCTTGAAATTACTGATCGCTCCTCCGGGAAAGCTTTCCGTTTTTACTGTCCACCATTTCAGTGAAAGGCTCCACTCTCTGTGTCTGTTGCTGTTGATGCTGGGCATTGGCAGGTGGTCTGGATATTGAGTTTCCTGGGTGACCTTGGGATCTCTGGGTTTTCTCCTTTTGAAACCTGCACCTCTTTCAGCAGTGCCACTGGGAGGTGGATTTGTTGAATTTGCTTGCAGCCGGCTGTCTTGGGGACTCCCTACCACTTGTGCAAAAGACAGAGTGGTGCAGGCTGCTGGATCCCTTCTGATTATGACTTACACCCAAAATGTGCTTGCCAAAGGCTGCCTGTCCAAACACTCACCATCGCATTCCTTGTTGGTGGAGATGTGCTTGTAGATTTCAGAATCCTGGGATTTAGAATCAAAGCTGTGTAATTAACATGATTGATGGGAAGCGTAATACTAGATTGTTGTGTGTACACTGCAGTTTCCTAACAGTGTAATAAAGTCATGATTTTCTCTTATTCCTTTCATTTCATTTCTACGGCGGTCGATAGAAAAATGGCTTTTGTGTTTTTGGGGTGGTTGTTTTGTGGTTTCTTTGTTTTCATTTTGTCTGTTTGTCCTGAGAAGTAGGTATTAGCAGTTTAACAGTGGATGTACAAGGTGATTAAAGAAGCTGAAAGA